ATCCCCCCCCCCCCCCAAAAAAAATGAATTACCAGTCACAATGAATTAAAATATGTTTACTTGGAATGTATCCACACTCAACAATAGTGAGGCCATATAATCTACTCAAAACATTTCAACAAGGCCCTCAAGATAAGATATCAGGTTGTGCAGCACGCAACATCATTAGCTCACACGTGCAGCATCTCAGAGGACCTTTAATTTGAGTAGGAAAAGTCTGTTCCTTCTCTATGAGGTTAAAGAGTGGGTGACAAGTGAAGAAAATCACAGAGGAATGCATTAATTAGGTAGACCTAAAAGCATATTTATCAAAGGCTAAGCCATATGGGAATTATCTTATGATCTAATAAAGAGAGGACAGGTTAATAGAATAAAAGGCCTTGAACAGAATGTGTGCTTATACATAAAATATCAACCTGATCTCACATGTAAATGAATCATTAGGATGTAACGATTAAATGTTATGGCAAGCGGATCCTTAACAAGTGAAATGACCCTCATACGTTTCGACAGTGACAATTGGCTTCTTATGTTCATTCTGATTAAAATGTCAAAACCTTGGACTTAATTCATCTCGGCATTTGTACGATTCCACGTGAAATGGCCCAATATTTGCTCAGAGTGAGAAGACTGATTACGTGGACTTGACTAAGCTGATATCAAAAATAAATATTTCATGAACTCCCTTTAATCAAAAAACAGAGCACTGGTCCAGAGAGGAAATAAACAGCCTACTGATTCTGTCTGAATCATCTAAACGGTGTCAATCACAAGTGAATACGAGGGGCTCCCGTCCCGGTTAGTGATGAATGATGGCCCTTCAGTGGCGATTGAGACAGACGGAGCAGATTGAGAGAGCTTATCTTTATGGTGGAGCCATGGAGTTGTTAACAGGATGTGATGGCTTGCATCCGCTGAGCTGAGCTGGGAAATAAAGCTGTTGGGCTCGGGCTGCCGCACCATCATTCACAGAGGTAATGATCTCTGTCTGGCTCAGAAGTAAGTAATAGTCTGCCCACAGGTTAGTAAGGGCAAGATACAGTGTCGCTGACAAAGTTGAACTTGGACAGATGAGCACAGGTCAGTCCACCGCTATATTTTTAATACACTTAACAGGCAATTTAATAATGATTAAAATACACTGTAAAACCTAGGGTTCATGAAGTTGAAGAAAGAGGTGAACTGCACTTCATTCCTAGACATGGAGGCTGCTGAGCAAGATGACTGTGAAATTAAAAAGACATATCTTAAAAAGTCTTATATGTCATTACTCTGGTATTTTTTAATACACAGATAAGTGTTTACAATGACCACATATTTGTAAATGATGTTCTTCTGCAGATCAAAAATGAATGTGTGTGTGTGTGTGTGTGTGTGTGTGTGTGTGTGTGNGTGTGTGTGTGTGTGTGTGTGTGTGTGTTGAGAGGAAGCAGTCAAAGATCCAGCTCCACTCAATTATCTTTAGCAGGATAATTAATCAATTCAGTATGCACATCCAAGTCTCAGAGGCATCTTTGAGATAATTGTTCTCATTGACTTGAATAATTATTTGTTTGCTGATTTAATTATTTTCGCATTTGGAAAACAAATGAACGTGTGCTGCTACATACTCCACATTCTGTTTTCTTTTGATGTGGGTAGGTGAAATTCACAAAATGCACTGTGGATGTGAGTTTAACACTGTGAATGTGTGATGTTCTGTTAAATCCTGCAACTGCAACCATATTCACAATTTATGTCATTATGTATTTTTTTCCCCATAACCCATAAACTCAACTTGAAGAAGGTCAATAAAGCATGAATTGTTTCTGCCTTGTGGCATCAATACAAACTACACTGAATCAAAGGCTAATATTTCACAGTGATGAGGTCAACCCTGGGTTACAGACACATTGTCTTCACACAGTGACTGGCATGTTGAAAACAATCGCAGAGTCCTCAGTTCACACCACGAGCATGAATAAGACCTTATGCCTGCTGTAGCAAATAGCACAAATTATGAGGGCCAATTTAAAGACACTCACTACTATTTATAATGCCGTTTTAAATGTTTTGCTCATTTGTTTCCATTAAATATTTCATCTTCCCTTAAATATTCATTTAACTTCCTCTTTAAATTTTTTACCAGTCTCTTTGCGGTTGCTATCGTCTTGCCTCCCTTTTAGGCTTTGCAATCATGAATAATTATTCATCTACACCCAGAAAGAGATTGCATAAAACATGCACATGAATCCTTTTTGTCTTTTCTCATTAGTGATATACTTCAAGTAGCCTAAATACTTCCCGCTACCCCACTTATGGAAATTGGTTGGAGAACCTTGCTAATGATTCTGCTTCACAAATAGGTTATGCCTCCATCTCTGATCCTAACGTTCATCCCTCCTTTCATGATGAAATGAGGGGTCTACAACTGCATCCGCGCTGAGTTCTGGAGTTCACGTTTCACTTTCAAAAAGACGAGTTGGATAATTTCTGAATCAGAAAATAGCAAAAAATAGCTCTTTGGTTGCACTAGATGCACCGTGTTGTAAGGATATAACCTGAGAGCAACAATGAGAATTAATGAAACACACATTTTTAAATGTTGCATTGGCTCTTGCTTGACCATATACCTTTTTCTGCTTCTATTTTGCCCAAAAAGTCCTTATTACCTTTTCTAAACATTTTTACTGCAACACAAAACATCTGGAGGAATATCATAAAAATGAAATAGAACAAGAAACATTTCAAATATAAAGTCATCATTATATGTCCACTCTATTTGTTTTATTTTTATATTTTAGAGTATAAAATGCTGTTAATTTTCTAGAAGTATTTAGGATTCTTCTATCCGTGTTTGATACGTTAATACCACAGCCTGGCTCAACAGATTCATCTCAGCTAAACAGGCAACATTTGTCTTAATTTGTTTGATAATTGCAACGACTCATTAGCAAACAGCACCATGGTGGAAGGTGGAAGGCAAGCACTCTCAATTTGACTGGATTATCCTTTTGTGATGAGGCCTAATGATCCCACAGAATAAATAGCAAGGTGTTAATTAGAAATCATGCAGAATGATCCGCTGCACACAGAGGAGGTATTAACCAAGCAGCACCATTATATTAGACCTATAGGTGTCTGTTCGGGTTTACAATGAAGTCTAATAGTAAAATGCCAATTAGCCTATAACTATCCCCAAAAGGGAAATTATAGGGCCTTTGTTAAAGTTGACTCACTTCAGTGTGGAGGCTCTTAAAAGTAAATAAAAACGGAACGGCTTCTTCTTATTGAAAATTACTATCATATCCACAATATATATCACTATTGAATAAATACTACTGATATATATTCCTCACTTAGACAGAAGACACAGCATTGCTGTTATTGCTTATTTAAGATAAATAATGTTTCCTACTAAAGATGCTTTAATTATAATTGCAATGCAAAAAATCTCTCATTACACTTCAGACCGTTTGCTTACCACAAGAAAACTCTTGTGCTCAAAGGAGCTTTGCCAAAGCCCCTGACTGCAGCATTTAAGTAAGCATTTGCCTCCATCTAGAGGCAAAGATTAGTCAATGATGGTAAGACTACAATCTATTCAAGTGATTAGTGTTACGAACAAATGAAGTGTAATCAATCAATTATTTTATATGTCATCAAGCTATTAAAATCGACATATGTTCCTCAATATATAAGTGCATATTAACCAACAACATCAGGGTTGTTTATGATGGCATAGTCTTTTGGACTGACGTTAATATAAGGCACCACTCATAGACCTATCAATAGTAATAGGCAATACTTATTGACAATTGGTGGGACAAGCACTCTGATATTTTACTTATATCATAGTGTATAAAGTCTGCTCCAAGTGAAACTAATTCACTTTTACTTCTGTAAAAATTATGTTGGAATTAGCAACTAAAT